ATAATGCTCTACATGCAAAAGTGCATGTTTTGGTCAATATTACAAATTGTTTGGCTGTTTTCTTCTTGGTAGCAATGGTCTGTCACGTTTAGCACTTCACAGTCCTTTCTGGATCTTTTTATTTGGTTCCAAAGCAGGCCTTCAGTTCATCCTGTTATGCTTTCATCTGTTTTCAAGAGCGGTTAAAGCATTTAGTTAATACCCTCTGACTTCATTGTTGCCATTTTCTTGATCAGTGATAACTTTTTCCACGATACTATACTCAAAATTTCCTGTATTATTCTTCCAGATGTAGAGAAAACATGCATTCTGCTCTACTTGTTATTGAATGTCTAGAGTCCTTAATAAAGTTTGAATAAAAAAATTAATGAACCATAATTGTTGTGGGAATCAGCCTTAAAAAACTGAATTGCCTGCTCTCTTCTCCTAACTTATAAACCCAGACCAGGTTAGAGCTTTAAACGTCAAAAATAAACAACCAATCAAACAACCAATCACCTGAGAAGCAGTTGCTGTAGGTGCTTCCCTGCTCCACATGATTGCTCAACTTGATTCCACTGTGGACGTCATACATGGAGTCCAACACTTCACTGTAAAAGACATTGATGTAAAAGGGCTTCAGGGAACAAGACAGTGGAAGACACCTCAAACAAACAACATGAAATGTATAAAAAGATTGTACCTCAGATTGATGTTGTGTAAGCGAGATTCAGGCAGATCTTTCTGCTTCATTAGCTTCCCACCATCCGTCGCCTGTAGCTTGTCTATGGCGGCTGTGATATCAGCGGCCCACTCGTCCCTCTCCTCTCTGGAACAGGCCTCCAAAAAGTGTTCAACACCATGTTTGGTCTGGAGTTTGAACACGAGCTGGTGAAAGAAACCACAAGCATAGTGAGGGCAGATTAAGAGCTGTTCTTCAAGCTTTGGCAGATGGTGAAGGTCAGGTTTGGACAAAACAGCAGCCCTGCAGCAATCGGTGTTATCATTGTTAAAGGTGCAGCAGGTGGTGCCAAATATTGACTCTCATAAAACTTTTTTTCAAATATATATAAATATACCTTAATCCTAAATTTATGCTGACAGGGCAGATGAATGGCATTGTTGCACACATCTTTTTGTTACTTGATGCTATAGACAGAGAATCATTCAGCCACTTTCTCTGGCATTCGACGAAACCGCAGGAATTTTATGGTAAAAAAAATGTCTGCTTACTGTTATTATTCAACAACGGCAGTGTTAAACGTGGAGTAGAAATGTTTTTGTCCACGTTTACTTTATCCAGTAGACATTACAGGATTGTTGCCCTTATTCTTTTGATCAGATCGATTTTAGTATAAATTGATCAATAAAAAACATTCAGGGCTGCAAGGTAGCACAGAGGGCAAGAAGGTCCTTAAAGGGCATCATCATAGAGCTGGGTTAACATAATTACCTATATTACACTATCAGTTCTTTAACGGTTCAACTTCCATTCCAGGAATGCAAAACATAAAAGTGAAATTAAAAGACAAAGACAAGAAACAGCAGCATACACCATAAACTCTGTTTTTCCTGTTATTTCTACCTCCTTTTAAGTTAATCCCATTGGAGCTGTACTAAATTATTCATTTATTTAATACTTTCCTATCTGAAATAATCAAAATGTAAAGGTGTTCTCATTCCTGAATAACTCACCGGCCGGTTTTCATACTCCAGGAAAGGACAGGTTATCACACAGTCCTTCAGCAGGACTTTCCCTCTCTGACATGAATCCCGTTTCCCTCCTTCATATCTGTAGTACAGCAACTTATCGGGGGTCAGAACAAACCAGCGGGCCTTCCAGTTGTGAACGATGTGGCCCTAGGTATACATAAAGAAATATTTTTAAAACACCTTTGTTACTTCAGATTCAGGTAAATCATTTAGAATAAACTTTTATAATAATACTAATAATAATATGGCAACTTTCTTACCCTCTTCACCAGGAACCCCTCTCTCAGAACAGGGTTCTTCTTGTCTGTCTCCATGTTCTTCAGTGAGTTCTTGAAGAGTTTGCCTTTTCTTGCCTGCTCAGCTGTTTTAAGCTGCAAGGGAATGAGTCACACATATCACACCCTTACACACCCCTTCCCCTACACCCTAACCTGTACAGCCAATAGAAGCTATTACAGCTCATTTACACACGGTGGTGCTCTATCTCTTTTGGAGAAGACTTCTGCAATGCTCAGCTGGCACTCACGCCACAACAACTCCATCCTCAATAACTTTTGTTATGCAAGGAATTCATATAAATGAAAGGCAGACGGGAACATGCTCCAGACTGATGAGGGGTTTTATTCAATTTTGATGCAAAAGGAGAGGCTGGCAATTGACCACTGTCCTTCTCTCAACCAGCTGGATCCAAATGGGACAACAGGATATCCAGTTAATGAGACAAGCAGAGACAATAATTACCAATGCAGCATCATGTTTTGCTTCCAGACATAGATTACCATAAGCGTATGAATGGACCAGAGGAAAGAGAAGGATTTTCAACTTCTCAAAATGAGGACAGAGTTGTTGTTTGTATGCCCCTTCAACTGCTCTGATGAGGTTTCAGAAATGTTGCAAACCTCGGATTGGGATGGATTAAATCGTTTCTACATTTAGGTTCAGCTGTTGTTGCATTTTCAAATAATTTGGCAGAGTAGAGCAGATGCAACAACCAACAAGAACGCAGCGTTTGACATAAAGATATCATTTTCAGGTATTTTTCTGGATTACTGGGAAAGTTTGGGATGATATTAAACTCTCCAATGCCAAGGGACATTTCCTTTGTTACAACCTCAAACTTCAGTATTTCATGTGGGCCCTCTGTGATCATTGTTTGGGGCCAATATCTGGTTTTTCTGCCAGGTTGGATAAAGAGTACAGTATCTATGAATGACTGGGTCTAGTTTATTGCATGTGAAGTGGCTTTGCTCTGCTTGAAAATCTTTTAATAAGTTTTAGGAGCTATTTTTGAGTCAGTATTAACCTGAAAAAGGTCCAACTTACTGATCTTTAATAATACCAACCTCCATCAGAGGGCCATCTGACCACCAGCAGACATAAAGTGTCTTGCCCAAAGACATCACTCGGACAGAGTGGAAACTCAGACTACTGTCCTGTTGTTGTTTTTTTGAGTTTAGTTGAATACATTTTTTGGTTATGCTGATCCATCTTGCCTCTCAGGGCCTATAGACCAAAATATCTGGAAGTGTTACACAAATATGACTTACAGTAGTAGCCATTCAAAATTTCTCCACTTGTCTGGTACTTGGCTGGTCCCCCACAATTCCTTTCTTAAACATCAAGCTTTGCACTAAAATATTCTGTCCTTATTTGTGGACATTAATATCTAAAGAAAAGCATCACTTCCTGGTCAGACCCTGTAAATCAGTAAAAATGGTTGAGTTAGAGTGAAAAAATATGCACGCCCAGGAGAAGGCCAGTGGCTGAAAGTTGGAGTGGTTTTTGCTGGTAGTTGCAGGGTAGTGGACTGCCTTTCAGCTGACCTTTGGCTGGGAAGACCATTTTGAAAACCTGCCACTGTACCTGATATGCTTAAATCCAATTGAGCCCTTTAGAACATACAGTACATTCTCAAGTTAGAAAAATTAAAAAACACAGGAAAAATGTAGTTAAAATATAAAAGCTGGCTAACAACTTTACAGAAGTGGATGTATAAATACATAAACAGCGGCTTTTTGTTAAAGCACCATAAGTCTCTGATCTAGTTAATAAAACGGAACTATTTTGGTAAAATAAAACTAGCATGTGAGTCAGTATGTGACCGGGCCTTCATGTGATTCTCTAAAAGTGGTTGTTCTTGACAAATGAAATACACTTAGATTTTGGATTAGAATTGAAATTTTTTCTGTATAATAGAGAAAATAATGCATCTACCAGAAATGGAAACATGCTTTTTCCCAAGAACAATGGTTATGCTGCACTCAGCCTTGATTCAACATGCAGTTTTTTTATCACCTCATTTTTGCTCGTTTTTGTTTTGCTATAGTTGACCACTAGTATCTTATCAACACAATATGACTCGAATATAGCAATCATTTATCACTCTGCATTTTACATCAAAAACACCCCTTTTATGGCTCAATTGCATTTTCTTTATATATAAGATAAAGATTTCTTTTTACTGTTGTACCATCTTTTATTCTACCAACAGGTCATTCTGCTTTTTTTCCCCAGAGAGCTAACAAGCTTGTCCAGTAAAGCTCATCATGATGAAAAGCATAACAATTTCTAAGAAGATTCCTCCTCCCTTTTGCTGAAGACCACAGTTAAGTTTTCTGTCTCCAAGGCGAGCAGACTGGGAACACAAGCCTGTAGGACTTAAGGAAATGGGAATAAGCTGCAGGCCCTCGCTGGCAAAAAGCCAAAGGAATCTGTTAAACGGGGGAAACGATCGCTTCCTAAAATCCTGCTTCCATACGGCCAAGCACGCCCTGACTGAGAGGCAATCATGGTTCTCTGAGATGACAGCCTACTGCTCAAATATTAAGGTGTGTCTGGTATTCCTCCAGTGTTACATTAACCATTAATCAAATACAAATTCTTCTATATGAAGATGTTGGTGTTGCGGCATGCCAGGATATGGAGGCTTCTGACGCAGGTGGGCCCCACGTGGTGCACCCGGTTGTCCTGGTCACGAGCAAACAGCCGGAGGACTCTGTTTTCAGAGTCTACAGACCTATTGTTCTCAGGGAGTGTGTTTACGAGTCCACGTCCACAGCTGGTTACACGGAACAGGGCCAGGGCTTTATTAGATTGAACCGGGGACGTTCCCAAACAGAGTTGTATGAGACGTCTGTAAGGAACAAATGTTCTCTGAAGCAACTGTGGAGATACAGAGACTAAATATGTCCTGAACAGTGAACTTAATATTCTAAGTAGCCCACTTGTAAGCTTTCACATTATGAACACAAGTTAATTTCTTGTAATGATATTTGCTGACAGAAGAGACTGAAACCAATTTAATGTATTGCCTTTCACATTTACTTCAAACATTTTCTAGAAGTTACATTTAGCTTTAAGCTTCAACCATTTTAAGATAAGGTCACAGTTTGCATTTGTTAAATCAGGCTTTGTGGTAAACTTAATATACAAAATGATTGCTCTAGTTTTTTTTTATTTTATTTTTTAATACTATCCTTCTGTTCTGTGCCTCCATTAAAAACGCACTGGTTTCACCCTGGCTCCCCTGGTACATCCCATCTACAACCGCCACAGATTAAAGACAAACAGAAGAAACTACAACCGCCACAGATTAAAGACAAACAGAAGAAACTACAACCGCCACAGATTAAAGACAAACAGAAGAAACTACAACCGCCACAGATTAAACCTACAGGAATAAACTACAATCAGCCCGGGTGCAGAATATCATGTGGTTAAAATTGACATCAAAGGAGCTGCAAGATCCCTCTTCCCCATTTGAAAATGTAACCCCAGGTAAACGGAGATTACGGTGTTATCCGACGCATTTGGTGAGATACAAAAAATGAAAAAGATTCCAAGTTGTACAACAGGTCAGTGAAGTTATTTCAAGGCAACAACCTACAGATCAACATTAAAATCCCTCCGGCCAGGGGACGAATGATGAGGAATGTGTCAGACATCTTACATTACAGAACATATTAAAGGCGTTTTCCAAAATTAGTGCACTGTTGACTGATCTAAACAAGCAAAGACCAATTTTATGCAACACTTATCTTCATACAACACAAAGAAGCATTATAGCTTTGAACATTTAATTTTAACTGTTGTCAAAAAAACTGATCACTTGCTTGCAAGTTACCTTTGTGCAGATGAACATGTTGTTTTACAGACCATTGTCAGCTACAGGCCTTTATTCATATTTTACATTTTTTATTTAAACTCCAAAGGCTCTGGATGTTGTGGGGCTGTGTTGGTTAACACGGCTCTGCAACATTGCGTAGACATCAGGGGCAGTTCCCCTGGAATGGCAGACTGGGGTGGTGGTCCCCCTATTTAAAAAAGGGGACCAGAGGGTGTGCTCCATCTACAGAGGAATCACACTCTTAAGCTTCCCTGGTAAGGTCTATTCCGGGGTTCTGGAAAGGAGGGTCCGTCGGATAGTCGAATCTCGGATTCAGGAGGAGCAGTGTGGTTTTTGCCCTGGCCGTGGAACATTGGATCAGCTCTATACCCTCAGCAGGATTCTGGAGGGTGCATGGGAGTTTGCCCAACCAATCTACATGTGTTTTGTGGATCTGGAGAAGGCATTCAACAGTGTCCCTCGGGGAGTCCTGTGGGGGGTACTCCGGGAGTATGGAGTACTGGGCCCTTAAATAAGGGCTGTTAAGTCTCCGTATGAGCCTGGTCCGCATTGCCAGCAGTAAGTCGGACTCATTTCCGGTGAGGGTTGGACTCCGCTAAGGTTGCGCTTTGTCACCAATTCTGTTCATAACTTTAATAGACAGAATTTCTAGTCGCAGCCAAGGTGTTGAGGGGATCTGTTTTGGTGGCCTTAGGATTGCATCTCTGTTATTCGCAGATGAATAACAGAGATGCAACAGTGGTTCTATTGGCTTCATCAGGGCATGATCTACAGCTCTCACTTGAGCAGTTCGCAGCCGAGTGTGAAGCAGCTGGGATGAGAATTAGTGCCTCCAAATCCAAGACCACGGTCTTGCACCGGAAAAGGGTAGAGTGCCTTCTCCGGGTTGGGGAGGATGTACCTTGGGGTCTTGTTCACGAATGAGGGGAAGATGGAGTGGGAGATCGATAGGCGGAGTTGTGCGGTGTCTGCTGTGAAGCGTGCTCTGTGCGGTCTGTTGTGGTGAAGAGAGAGCTGAGCCAAAATGCAAAGCTCTCGATTTACCGGTCGATCTATGTTCCTACCTTCATCTATGGTCATGAGCTTTGGGTCATGACCGAAAGAACAAGATCCCGGATACAGGCGGCTGAAATGAGTTTTCTCCGTGGTGTGTTTTGGCTCTCCTTTAGAGAGAGGAGCCAGTTGAAGTGGCTCGGGCATTTCATTCGGATGCCTTCTGGACGTCTCCCTGGTGAGGTGTTCCAGGCACGTCTCACCGGGAGGAGGCCCAGGGGGAGACCCAGGACAGGTGGGACTATGTTTCTCGGCTGGCATGGGAGCGCCTTGGGATTCCCCCGGGAGGAGCTGGCCCAAGTGGCTGGGGAGAGAGACGTCTGGGCCTCCCTACTGAAGCTGCTACCCCAGCGGCCCGACCCCGGATAAGCGGAAGAAGATGGATGGATGGATGGATGGATGGATGGATGGATGGATGGATGGATGGATGGATGGATGGATGGATGGATGGACATATTTTTATATATATATATATATATATATATATATATATATATATATATATATATATATATATATATATATACATGTATTTACAAACTAGACCTGCTATGGATATAAAGCCATTTAAATTTAAAATCTAAATTGTGATCGACAGGTTAAGTCATTTCATTTAAGGATCTAAGGCAAGAATTGATTAACAATGATACTTTATCTCATTGTAGAGATGTTTGCAAAGAAGAATAGGTAAAAACCTCGGTCCTAAGATGTGCAAACCTGTTAGAGACACACCCTTGAAGATTTGCAACCAAGCAACACCTTTCTAGATTTTATTTAAAAAAACAACAACTTTGTGTTAGTTTGTCAGATAGTTGCTCCGTAAATACCATTGGAGATTGTAGATGTTACCAACAAAATATTGTTACGTTCAGAAGGTGTGATTACTTTTTCAAGGCACTGTAGATGTCACTAACAGGAAATAATACAACACTTCAAACTTCTTCTCAAGTTAAAGTAAAGTGCACCTTTTATTGTCTTTTGCCGTTTCTGATATTCAGCCCTGTAAATATTTGCTCCATTTTCGTCACAGTCTGAGCTTTATTTAGCTCGGCTCTCCCACCACAACTCTTTCAGAATTCTCCAAATTGATAGATCTAAACTTTATAAATCAATCAAAAGGAGACAACGATCCACAGCAAGTAGAATATGCTCAACATATCTTAAACAGAACCATTTTAAGCAGCAGTAAAAGTACAGATCTGCATCATCTAAATCTTATAGCTCAGGAACTGAGGAGTCGTTCCACTAGCGAACACAGATCTAACAAAAAAGAAGCAGTGAAGTGAACTAAAAAGTGACCTAATGTAGAAAATGGTCGACTTATTTCTCCCATAAAAAATGCCTCTCCTTTTTGATCTTCAGCATCTATACACTAAACCTCTGTTTACACTGTAACATCGGGCATTGACTGCAGTGTGCGACCTGGTCCATAAACATTGTCTCTCTGAGAGGAGTGGGTTGCATTAGTCCAGGAAGCAGGTTTATGTAGGACTCAGCCGATGCCACGCTGTCACCACTTTCTCTGGGTGAGCCATCGTCTCCTTCCACTGCTCTACAGCTGCTGGGAGAGGACTGTCAAAGCCCAGCTGAACCTGATGCAAACAGAAACCAGAAGTTTATGACAACAGAAAGCAGCGCTGACAGATGGAAATCAGGTCAATGTTGGAGTCTCTCCTTAAACAGCAGAGCAATCATCACAAAATATTTTTGTTTTTTTACATTTTGTCTCATCTCAACCACAAACATAAAGCATTTTATAGAGATTTTATGCAATATGTCAACACAGAATAGTTCCTAATTTTAGAAATAAAAATTTGAACACTGAAAAGTGTGTTAGCAGTCCTCAGCCCTCTTTACTCTTATACCCCTAAACTGTTTCAAATGCAACTGAGTGCCTTCAGAGGTCACCTCATAAATAAATAGTGTTCAACTGTATCTCAATACAAATTCTGTGAGTTAGAAAACTAGCAAACAGCACTATCAGAAGCAATAAACACATCAAACAGGTCATAGATAAAGTGAACGAGATGTTTAAACCAAAGTTATATTATAAGTTAATATGCTAAGTTTTGAATGCCTCGAATAAGCTTTAATCTATCCTCTGACAAGGAGAATAGAGTATATGCAAGTTCACTGCTTGCCAGGGTAGATCTGCTGACAAAACACTGAAAGTAAGTCATATCTGCGGTGAGCTGCAGGTTATAGAGGGTAAAAAGCAAAAATGTAGAAGAAGGTGCTGTCATCAGACCAAAATTGAAGCTTTCAGTTTTTATGGAGCAATATAATGTAAGCCCAACAGAAAGCGAAAGAAAACATGATGATGGCAGCATCATGCTCTTGACACGCTTTCCTTTTAACAGGGACAGGGAAGCAGTTCAGGGTACACAAGAAGATGCAAGTCAATATTGGCAGAAATTCTGTTAAAGGGTGTAAAAAAAACTCAGGACTTGGGCGGAGCTTCACATTACAGCAGGACCATGGCCTCAAACCTGCAGCCAGTAGAATGCTTTATATAAAAGGATATTCAGCATAGTCCTATTCAATAGCCTAGTCAAAATTCCCAAGAACGATGGTTAAAAATTTCAGTCTTTATGTGTGAAAAGCAGGTAGAAACTAAATGCTTAAGTGTAGCAAATGGCTGTTCTAGAAATTATAGAAAAAAATACTGAACATTTTATTCATGCGTTACAAAGTTACTGGTATATATTGGTTTGTAATATGCAGAATCAAAATAATCAATTAAAGCAAAGTGAGAAATCTGATCATTGTATAACTAAATTCTTTTGATCACTCCTACCACCAGCTTTCAAAGTGTCTTAAATAAATAAAAGCCTCTCATTGTGACTGTCTACCTTGATCAAACCCAGCAATTACCACAGAGCAAAGACTGTTGATAAAGTAAAAACTTTAAAACTTTGGTCTGGGCAGATTCTAACATAAAAGCTGAGAAAAAGGTACTGTTTATTGACTGACCTGTCCAAGACACTGTTTCCTCCTGACAGAATTGCAGCTGTAGAGTCTGAGCGAAAGCAAGCAGGCGTGCTCCAGGGACGCCAACAGGAAAGGAAATGTCTCATCCCACCGACACTTTCCGCTTGATGCTTTTAGCGCTTGAGTCTTCTTCTTAATAGCCCCTTGTCCTAACTGCTGCATCTCAACTTTGACAAAAAAAACTGTGGGGAGGGCAAGAGGTCAGGTAAGCACACAGCCAGGAACCTAATTAATCATCTTACTTGATAAATGTCCAAAATATATCTTTACTTACCCTGGGGGAGAGGAGAGGATGAGGGTGGGAGGTTTTTAGCTTCAAGGACCTTAAGCTGGATGCGACCACTGACTGGCTGAAAGAGGGTACTGATATGCAGCTCAGAATTACACACCTGTAGGGACACATGGTTTGTTTCTTAACATCCTTTTGGTATTTTTCAATTTATAAGGCATCACATTATTGCTTTACATTGCCATTCAACTGGCTGAAAAGGAAAATGAATAAATGTAACTGTTGAGACACTCAATTCTGGGTCTTGTTCATTTTTTAAAATAGTAAGATGTGGACTTTTTCATTCCGGCCCGTGGCGGAAATATAGCTGAAGTTAATTTGTCACCGTGCTGAGGAGGAGAGAGAGTTGCAGCTAGAACGAACATCTGTACATGTGATATCACCAAGATGGCGCCGTGGACAGCTGCCTCTGTGTATTGGTGCACTCTCCTTTTTCTTCCCATCCGCTACCAGCCTTGTCAACAAGGCCCAGAGATTCCCATGACACTGCTTCTCTCCCTCCCCCATTCATGACCTACAAGCTACATCAACGTAGCATCTCCAGAACTCCTGCCTTAAATGAATGCAGAGCCTACTGTGTATATAGTATATAGCTATATACTATATATTTTATATAGTATAATATATGTTTTATAGTGTATATATATATATATATATATATATATATATATATATATATATATATATATATATATATATA